TATTTAGGTTTTGAGATCGAAAAAAAAATTTCTTTTCGAAACTTTTGTACACTTTAAGAAAACTAATTATATAAAAAAGCCATCATTTATTTCATTTATATGCAAAATGTATAAATATGACAAACGGCAAAATTTGTAAACACTACAAACGACAAAATTTAGTTGCTTACACCCTACCATATGTAGGTTTTGAGACAACTTTTAGGGTGTCAATATACAAGTATTTACAGACTTACTGCTGGGTATCTCGAATTCCTAGGTGAACTTACTATAATGACTGGACTAAGTGGGGTAACTGTTGTTGTGTTCATCAGTGTTAAAGTATTGGATGGTGATGCATCAGTTGAATTTATAATTTGCTAAGACAAATACGAATGGCTCCGCCATTCTTGACTGTTCTACAGGTCTTGCTGACGTTGTTGAGATAGAGGAGGGTTAACAAGAGGAGCTGATGTTCTTTTACGCCATTCCTGATTGTACCAGTTGCCGTTCTGTCCTTGGGTGGGTGGAAGGTCGACTGGATAAGACGCTTTACTTTTAATATTTTGCAGCAACTTTATAACGCCTCCCGCTCTTTAGGCACATTCATTTCATGGTCTATGAATTTTATCATTTTGGTATCCATTTAATTTTTTATTGAAAACTTTCGTTTTCGTTTTTGTAACAAGTTTGGCTTGCTTACAGGCTCAGAAGTTGTTTCTCGATCTGCTGCATTATTCTCAGCTCTACGTTCTTGATCAACAGCTGTACCTTTTTCATCCGTAAAATCTGTGGATGCGCCTTCTACTTTTGCATTATCAGTACTTTCGTGGGCAACCGATAAATTTGTAACTTTTTTCAAGAATGACATTTGCTCATGATATAGATATCACCTTGAAGGTTTGGCAGAGCAACCAGATGCTTTTTGCCTTTTTTGTTTTTTATTGCTTTCATCCAAGAATCTCTGGTTTGCGTCCATTTCTTCAGTGCAAGTTTACCTGAAACAAAATATTAATTAAATTTTTTTTTCAGATACTTGGCTTCTGGATGTTCATTTAAAGATCTTCATTACTCATACCGAGTGGGTGTATCGACAATTAGTAATATTGTGGCAGAAGTTACAGAAAGTATATGGAACAACTTATGGAGTAAATTTATAAGTTTACCAAATACAACTGAAGCGTGGGAAAAAATTGCGAGAGGATTTCAGCAGAATGCAAATTTTTCTCATTGCTTGGGCGCGGTGGATGGTAAACACATAAGAGTGAAGAAAACGGCAAATAGTGGCTCAATGTTCTTTAATTATAAAGACTATTTTTCAGTTGTACTGTTAGCAGTCGTAGATTCTGAATATCGCCTTATTTACGTCAGTGTCGGGTCCTACGGCAAAGACTGTGACTCTTCGATTTTTAAATCAAAAACTGTTTGGAAAATATTGATCGAAAACTCTATGAAAATACCAAAACCATGTCCTTTACATGAGGGATCAGAAATAGAAGTTCCATTTGTGCTGATCGGCGATTACACGAACATTTATGGATTACACGAACATTTATTAAGGCCCTTTGGTGGAACTCATTTAGATAGACAAAAACGAATATTTAATTACCGCTTGACGAGAGCACGAAGATATGTCAAATGTACTTTTGGTATATTAACAAATAAATGGAGGATTTTTCACTGACCTTTGGATGTCCACGAAGATACTGCGATTAGGATTATAAAAGCTTGCACCGTACTACATAATTTTGTGTGAGAGAGAGAGGGTTTAAATTATGAAGATAGTTTCCTGGCAAGATGAAGCTATTACCACCCAATAACTTCAAATCAAATAAAACGGATTAAACTTATCAAACTCCTGTCTTTGCTTTTGTTCCATTTCCTTGAATCCCTCTTTTAATATAACGCATATTTCCCTCCATGCCGAGTCTTTCAAATTCTTATTCTTATACGACTCCAATGTTCCATCCCACAATGCCGGTCTTTCTTCAACCAAACTTATTAGCAGTTCTTTGTTGATCGTCTCCATTGCACGCACTGCTTTGTAATAAAATCAACCATCAAATAAACTATCGGTACGAAAACTGTACTGTCTGAACACTAGCACGCAAATACATTGCCACTAGCAACTGATTAGGTTTTTCTTACGAATCGGGTATTCGGTTTTCGGTGACAATACCGAATGTCAATCGCGACCGAAACGATGAAATTGCCGTATGCGAGTCGCGGGTGTGCCGTGTGAACATGCCCGCTTAAATGTATGCGCCATTGCAGTACACGGTAAAAAAAACGATTCAGTAAATTAGCTGAATCGGTGTTGTGTGAACGGGGTGTATCGGAACCGTAGCACCAACTTTTTCCCGATATCTCATAAGATGCACGTTAGGGCAGAGTTTACACATCCCTCCCTCATTGAAGCGACCGAGGTTCGATCTCTAGCGACAGAAACTTGTTTTCAGACCCAGCGCATTCGCCAAAATCTCTCCCAAAATACGCATAGCCCTACTACTTATGTGATGGCATCATGGCCGGTACTTTGTAAAAATCCGTAACGTTTTCAAGAGACAATTTTTAGTGAGATTTTCACAAAAAAGTTTTACAGAAACCCAACACGGGTTTCGCTATGCGGACGTGTCTTTACTAGTTTTACTAAAGACACGCCTGAGTAATAGTCCGGTCAATTTAGACATTCGAACTACCTAACTTCCCACCAAGCTGAAAATCAGTAAGATTGTTTAAAATATCATTAAAAGTATATAATTTGAAAGTTCCCCATCTTTCCTCTGTATGGGAAACATTTTATTCACGGTCAAAGGTCGAAAAATCAGTTTCTCGTGTAAATTTTATCATAAAAATCTTTCAGACAAAAATTATAGATCATAAAATTATCTACAAAAATTGTATCAAATACTTTTTTTCCTACGAGCCACCGTTTTTGAGATATAATGAGTCAAAAAGTTGTAAAAGTTGTAATCGTCATAATATGCACACGATTCCACGCTACCTATGAGGTAGTGTACTCAGCGCGTTTTTTTACGTGGTTTTCCTAGTAGGCCTATTCCACGGGTCAGTTGTGATCCTGTTCAATTTGAAACTATTGCAAAATAATGGATGTTAGTAGAGGTTGAAAAGATAAAAGTGATTTAAGTTAAAAAAAGAAGTGAAATTTAATCGTCCGAGTCGTAACTTTCAAATTCTTCTTCTTGTTCTCCTTCTTGATCTTCCTGTCCTTAATCTTCTTGTTCTTCTTCTTGTTCTTCTTATTGTTCTTCTTGTTCGTCTTCATCTTCATCCTGAGTAGGTACATGCAAACTGCGTTAATAGCGATATATCGCATGTCGCCTCGTAGGAATCAAACGGATCCTCCACTGTTAGTGATTCAATATTAGAACACGACCGGCCTTGATAATGTGTACATGCCAGAGAACAAAACAGTCCGGCTTTTTTGCAACCACATTTAGCATTGTATCCTTTTTTGCAGTTGCAAAAAATTGTGTTCAGCAGTTTTTCCGGTGCAGGTGGAGTTTAGACTGGTTCTAATGAATTGTTGACCAACTTCCAACCCCAGTCTGTAGGGTCTAGCTGATAACCAAGCCACACTTGAAATTGGTAATATACCCGAGAAAGATGTTGATAAGCAGCAACTGAGGTTGGAGGAACACAAGGTAATTGTACATATCTCTTAGAAAAGATTCACCAACTTCTTTGAAATGCATCCTGGCGCTGATGGTATCATTCGTGTGCTAACTGTTCGAACTTCTAGTGGTCAATTCAAACGTTCTGTTAGTAAAATATGCCCATTATCAAACAATCAATTTTTTCTTTATTTATTTAGAAAAAACCGCATCAGCCGTAGCTATTAGCGGCAAACATATAAAATATATCTGAAACATGCAGTTGTTTACATTACAGTTTGAATAAAAGGTTACATTCTTTAAAAAATTCAACAATATTGTTGGTATTGCTATTTTGAAAAATTTCACTTAGTCTGGAGGGAATTTTATTGTTCAGTCTCTCAACTGTGAACAGTGGGCACTTACCAGAACATGCTTAACAGTCACAAGCACTTTACATGCGAAACATTTTGGTGGCGGTTCTTTCCTCAATAGATGTTCATGCGTAAGGCGAGTGTGGCCCAGTCGTAATCTGGTAATTATGACTTGATGGAAGCGGTTTGTTGCTTTGTTGTTCCAAGGATATAATGTAGCTTTGATTTCCTTAAGTTTAGAAGGTTTTTGAGACCAGTGGTGATTCCACATTTCTACAATTTTTCAATGAAAATAGGATTTGAGATCCATCGGCAATGCTTTCATACTGAGATTACATGCTGAATATTCTACAGCTTCTCTGGCAAGTTTATCAGCTATATCGTTTCCAGAAATCCCAGTATGTGAAGGAACCTATAGGAGGGTTACTTTCATGTTATCTAGTTGATTCATCTCCTCTTTAATCATATTTACCAGTACGAGATGGGACAATCAATCTTGTTGAGTTACTTCAAATATTTCATATTTCAGCTAGTATGTGATTATCAGTCAATATTTTTTTCTCATTCTGCCATTTTGGTGGGCGGTATATTCCGATTTACTGTTATCTAGTTGATTCATCTCCTCTTTAATCATATTTACCAGTACGAGATGGGACAATCAATCTTGTTGAGTTACTTCAAATATTTCATATTTTAGCTAGTATGTGATTATCAGTCAATATTTTTTTCTCATTCTGCCATTTTGGTGGGCGGTATATTCCGATTTGAGTAATCATACATAATCACCAAACTTTTAGTAATTATAATTTATTCATTTTCAACCCCCTCTCAGCACTTTTGTACTGTCACTGATCCACCCTACTCTGAGTAAAGGAGGAGGGGGGGGTGAGACAAGCAGTCGCTAGAGAAGTGACCATATGCAGATCGTTGTCTCCTCTATATTTTCATAAGTTATTACACTATAATATATAATAATTTTGTAAAACCAGAACTTGAAACAATAATCAAACGGTATCCCGTTTTGCAGATATAATTGGGAGCAAAACGAGAGCCTTGTTAGAAGATTGCTAGAAAACATAATTCCTAAACTCGAGAAAGTAGCTATGGGTAATTTAGAAGACATGCCCATGAGCATAGATGATTTTTGCCAAAGACTGAATCCTTCGTTGGAAGGTCTACTATTGGCTTCTCAAAGATGTAGTATTTTGAGAAAGCATGAGTTCACCTTCGATCCAAGAATTCTTATTCGCTTCACGAAGTTGGAGGTGAGGAAATATATTTTATACAAATATCAAAATCTTTTATAATTAACCTATCATACCTTCCGCAAATTTTCACGAGTTATGAAATGAATTGTGGTTATGTATCATACTTTTCAGATGTCACGAATCTCCTCAAACACATCTAGAGGTGTCAGTGATATAGTGGGCTTTTCTGAGGGACCACGTTTACCTGTTCACTGGTTTGGGCAATAATCAAACTCAAATGAGTTTTAAACAAATATTAGGTTTAGGCAAGATAAATTACCTTTTCTGTACAACGAGCGGTTTAGAAAGTGATTGGATGTCAATTATTCAAACCAGTGGATAGGTGAAAGTGGTGCTTCAACAATCTGATGCGTTACCTGAAATGACACCAGAAAAAAAACAGCTTTGAAGTTTAAAACAAATCGTCCATGCTTCACGCTGGATTGACTGTACGATAACGCTATCAAAAATGCCAATCGAAAGAAATGTAGAACTGTTGGAGAGGATATGATACCCGTCTAAATATCTTCACACAATAGCGCCAAAATCAGCCATGTGTATCTTCGTCAACGAATTCAGCGGAAAAACCGAATATCAATCATATCAATCATATACACTAATCATCAAGGCCTACAAGTGCAACATATTGTGGAGTTCAGCATCAATCAAGTCGACTCGTATTTCGCTATGAATGACTCAGAATGAGTTATCAGATGAAAATTTGAAATGACCAGTAATGGAGAAAAAAGATTTATATTGAAATAACTATGTGCCTCCTTTCCTAGGCTTATGCACACCATTACAGGAACTCGATATTCAGGTCGCTCAAGTGATAACAAAGCTGTCGTTGTCGTATCGGGCTTGATACTTCTGGAAAAAGTTCATGAAAAAAACCAGTACAAACAGTCGTCTATATGCCGTTCCTGGAAGATGAAGATGTCGAGGGCTCCATAAATCAACCCACTGTGACGACGGTGTTGATTATAATAAACTGTAACAGCTGTAACTGTACTAGTGAGCAGCCTTTTGGGAAGAAACCACTTGAAGTGCTTGTAGGCAAGCCATCGGATTGAATAGACAAGACTCCTGTGGAACACCTGCTTTCAAACCAAAGCTCGAGTAGTGCTCACAATACCAGGATGGCGAACAGCATTCTCTCTACGAGTGCAAGAATCGAAAAGAAATGCTGCAAAAGTCGAAGCAAGCGATACATTTTTATTACTGGTTATTTCCAATTTTTATCTGATGGCTTATTGTGAGAAATGCATAGTGAAATACGACACGACTTGATTGATGCTGAACTCCACAATATTGTTGCAATTGTAGGCCATGATGAAAGGTGCATAAGATTGATTGATACATATCAAATAATGGCGCTGTTGTATGAGAAGATTTCGATAGCTCCTGCATCATCGTACCGAGTCAGTCCAATGTGAAGCAGGATCGAATACACACATACACATATCAACAACCAATAAAACTACCCAAAAAACCGAAACCCAACACTCCCAATTCACAAACCGTATGACAGTTTCATACAGGAGGCTTTGTTTCTGAAAGTAGGCCACATTCTGGGTTCTCGATTTATTTTTCGTATAGTCTTTTAGCAAGATGGACGTAAATAATTTGTAATTTTATATTGGTATCGTCAAAAAAGGCGTAGATCAGTTACTAGAAAATATTGGATTCACCCAATTGTGAGACAAAGATACCGTTTGGGTGCTTACCAGACTTTAATGGGGCAGTTAAGAAGAGATGAAATAATTTGTTTTAATTATTTTCGAATGTCGTCGTCTACTTTTAATGAGCTCCTGAGAAGAGTGAAAGATTTGAAACGACAAGACACCAGAATGAGAAAGAGTATAAATCCTGAAGAGAAACTGGCTATATGCTTCAGGTGAGTATTTACTAAATTCTTTTACCACAAACAGAAATATTTTTATTAAAAATATAAGTTTATTACATAGAAACAAGTTACAAATTTTTATAAAAACTAAAATATATTTTAACTTAACACAACATACCTATACATATTAATTGGAAAAATGTTGAAATTGAGTAAAATTTGGATTGTATGAATATTCAGAATCTTGAGTTGACACTGATTCTAACGATGCTACAGATTCTGGCGACTGCAGTGGCGTAACTGTTGTTGTGTTCATCAGTGTTAAAGTATTGGATGGTGATGCATCAGTTGAATTTATAATTTGTTAAGACAAATACGAATGACTCCGCCATTCTTGACTGTTCTAGAGGTCTTGCTGACGTTGTTGAGATAGAGGAGGGTTAACAGGAGGAGCTGATGTTCTTTTACGCCATTCCTGATTGTACCAGTTGCCGTTCTGTCCTTGGGTGGGTGGAAAGTCGACTGGATAAGACGCTTTACTTTTAATATTTTGCAGCAACTTTATAACGCCTCCCGCTCTTTAGGCACATTCATTTCATGGTCTATGAATTTTATCATTTTGGTATCCACTTAATTTTTTATTGAAAACTTTCGTTTTCGTTTTTGTAACAAGTTTGGCTTGCTTACAGGCTCAGAAGTTGTTTCTCGATCTGCTGCATTATCCTCAGCTCTACGTTCTTGATCAACAGCTGTACCTTCTTCATCCGTAAAATCTGTGGATGCGCCTTCTACTTTTGCATTATCAGAACTTTCGTGGGCAACCGATAAATTTGTAACTTTTTTCAAGAATGACATTTGCTCATGATATAGATATCACCTTGAAGATTTGACAGAGCAACCAGATGCTTTTTGCCTTTTTTGTTTTTTATTGCTTTCATCCAAGAATCTCTGGTTTGCGTCCATTTCTTCAGTACAAGTTTACCTGAAACAACATATTAATTATTTTTTTTTTTCAGATACTTGGCTTCTGGATGTTCATTTGAAGATCTTCATTACTCATACCGAGTGGGTGTATCGACAATTAGTAATATTGTGGCAGAAGTTACAGAAAATATATGGAACAACTTATGGAGTGAATTTATAAGTTTACCAAATACAACTGAAGCGTGGGAAAAAATTGCGAGAGCCATCAAATACGACAGTAACTTTTTAACCAAAATATCGAACGTACATACTGTACGTATTTATCTAAGATATCGTTAAATGTTTATTTGCTATCCCACACAACGCGACGTAGTAACGCCCGTCAATGATGTATGTCGCATTTGTGTTGTTAATATCGTTATATCTTAAAAACGGTGGCTCAGAAGCGGTCTAGAAGAGAACCAGTAACTAATTTTCCCGAGTATGAGTATTCCAATATTAAACGGATTATTTACGACTTTCATAAGACTGAAGGGTGTCGTATTACGGTAAAAAAGTTTCGACACAAAATTAATAACGTTTTGGAATCGTGGTCCCGAAACATCTTGTTAGGTATCACTAATACATTAAAACACTTCACTCTAAACAACTAATATATTGCCCAAATAATGTTTTGCCACCACAAACGTATCCTACTCTAGTAGGATACGCATAACTGGACTATCGATATATAGGGTGGTTGGTCCTAACAATCTCTTCGTAGAATTTTAAAGAAAATAGGTTTCAAATGGAGGACGAAAAAAATCAAATAGGTGAATGAATGTCATTACGATGTCATCGATGACATAAGCAGGTCAAGATTATTCCGTGACATTAAAAATCGTAATGCATTAATGAAGTGTGTGTATTTTCTATAATGTTATCCAATTTGGTACTGAAGAGCCTTAGGGCAAGTGTCTTAAGGCGAAACGTCGATGTATACCAGTGAAGGTGACAGTGTTCCATGTGAGTGCAATTTGTTACCATTCATTTAAAGTAGAACTCATGTGAATGATATCTGATTTTTATTCCACAACGAATGTTTGGAATATAAACCGAGTAGAGAAAAGTATCTTCTGTATAATTCAGTATTCATATAGAAGTATTTGTTTCGAAAGAATTTTTTCTTTCGGGTAATTCAATGTTTATATGAAAGTAACTGCTATATAATGTTTATTGGAACTAGTAAACGAAATTCAAGACACCAAACCAACCATAGCTCATATTATAAAGCAAGATCTCTACGTGAATGACAGGTTTACGGGTGCGGACTCTCCCCAAGATGCTCAGCGGGTATGCTGCGAGGTTTCCGATGTCCTTAAAGGTGGTGGTTTCGAACTCCGGAAATGGTGTTCTAATTTTCCCGAAGTCTTACGAGAAATTGAAAATTCTAACGTAGCTTATGATATTCTAGAATTTTCCACTGACTATAAAACATTAGGTTTTAACTTGGTCATGTCAAAGCGATAATTTACGTTACAATATACAGGTTAACGAAAATTCTAATGCAGGATTTGTGGTCAACTAAAGTCTCCTGGGAAGAACCTGTACCCGATCATACAAAATCTACTTGGCTCAGCTTCAGCGTGAATTACCTTTGCTAAATAACTTATCTATACCTGGACACGCTATAATACAAAATTGTGTAAGGGTAGAGTTGCACGGGTTCTGTGATTCCTCGAAACGTGCCTTGCTACGTTTCAATTTAGCACTAGATCAAAACTGCTCCTATGTGACCTTTCAAAACACTAACTTACCTTTTAAGATCTTTATTCAAAGGATATTAACAATGTAATTCAGTTACAACTTGATTTTATTCATTTAACATCATAGTAATGGGAATCTTCCGTTCCATAGAAAACTATACCTGAAATGTACAAGAATATATGTATGCTCCCTGACTAACTGCTTTGACCAGTACTTACGCATTCTCCTATTGCCAATCGACGTTGGAGATCCGAAATTCCTCGCTAGGTTGAAATAGTTGTTATTGTTTGTTTCTCAGTTTTCTTCACCTATCATTTTTTTTCAGCCGTTGTCTGCCTTATTCTCTATACCTTTCCAAGAATATTTCTTGCATAGATTGTTATTCATCACTTCCAGAAGGTTTACTGACATATTAGAGCCATATCGCCTGAAAAACAATATTAGTTAGCTCTGGGTTTCTAAATACTGTTTGATATTTTCGGTAAATATTCTGCATAATATGAATGTTCAAATATTCGTACTGAAAGGGAAAGATGTGGCGACTTACCTTATATATTTCTATTCCATGGCATGAATAAGGATCAGTAAATAGTTGAAAATAGGTTGGAGTCAATATTTTTGTAAACATTCAATAACAATGTTAAGAGACAGCTGTTGGTTGACATCCGCCGAACTTTCGTAGTGTCGTTCCGACGACCTACACCGAACTAGTTCTACAGTTATTCACGGGTGAGGGATTGATCGGTTACTCAAATTGTCAAGGGTTGTTTTAGGGTTGCATTTTTTTGAGAAGGAGTTTTGATGGGTCATGGACTTGTTGATATTGTCTCGAGTGGCTGTGGAGGAATTGATAAATTTATGATGTTGTGCACAGCGCCCCCTTGGTGCTTGTAGTGTAGGTTTGACGCACTGTGGCAACAACTGGTTAGTTGTCAGATGTGGCAGTCTCTTGGATTACGGGAGTTGACCTTCGATGAGCTTGGTTGAGAGTTCAAGTGTACCACCAGACTGATTGTAGGATATATTTGGTTGTATTTGTGCCATCCTTCACGGGGATTATTTCTACAAGTCAGGATTATATAGTGCAAGACTGATTGATCATTTTGGTGTGGATATTTGCAGTCTGAAACTTAAGCTCTTTTGAGGATTTGTGGTGGTTACCAAACTCATTGCGCCAAGTGGAAGGATTTCCGAAATCTGGTATGTCTGAATTACTATCGCATCTCTCATGTGGTCTTAGCTATGATATCGTCTCTTCAATTCTACAACCTTCGTTTCTCGTCTCTAGATTCATAAGAAACAGAAGGCCCTTAGTCAATCATCAAGTCCCAGTAGGACTTCCGTGTAGAGCACCGCACACGAAGAAACGTATAGAAAACCCCTTGGCCAGGGTAAGAATAATACAATCAAATGGGTTTTTGATGATTTTAGTAATTTTTGATCCTAGTGTTGTCATTCAAGACAATATTAGTTTTGAAGAGAGGTTTCAACACCCATTCAATTTTTTTGATTTTTTTTACGGGTTATATAGGGCACCCAAAAATATACTCTTGTTATCTTGCTACTTTGCTTGATGAAAATATACCAGGGGTATCGATTAGTCAACTAGTCCCTATTGGATGGGGGTTGAATCTCACCTTGTTTTTATCTGATTCTGATTGAGAATTTTCTTCCGTAGGGTTTTTCTGTTTTCCTGTTTTCCTGTTTAGGTTTTTTTTTCCTATTTTCTTTTTTGGGTCTTATTTGGTGATCCATCACTGGTCCAGCTTGTTGTGCCCTACAGGGTGATCTATCTTGGTGGTGCTACAGGGTGATCCATCTCCGCCGTACTACAGGGTGATCCACCTCCGTCGAACTACGGGGTAGCCTAACACCATATACCGGGTGGCCCAAAAGGAGCACGCAAGTTATACTTGGTTCATTTGAATATTTGTGATATACTGAGTTATTTAAATAATTGTTTGCCCTTCTGTTTATTGATACCTGTTTGATATAGTGTTCGTTTATTTATACCTGATTGATATAGTGATGCGTTTGTGAAACGGAAATTGAGGTATTTTCTTCCTTTCACGATTGCTTGTTGACACCGATGCGCCTACGCCTGAGCTCACGCGACGCAAACGAGTTTGTCTTACCTTCCAATACTAGTATTTACGATTTCACCTACTCAATTTTCGTGGTAGTTTTACTCGACGTATTGTAGTTTTCTTTTGAGCGTCGTTACTACCGTAATTTATGGGTGATTGAATTCGGGGTTATATACACCGCGCTCTTGTATTGACATTTGAACATCGCGTAGTAGTGTGAATATCGCATTGTTGTCTTAGAAGCGTTGTTGGTTAATCCATGTAAGTTAGGATTACTGAATAAATCATATGGGGATCTTTATCTTTTATTTCCAATATTAATTGGTAAGTTATTGATATTGTGAGTTACTTAGGGTATCTGGAGGATTAAATTTACCTGGCGCCCATTAAGATCTATTTGAAATTTGTTAAGTTGTTTAACCCACTCCCGTCTCCACTGTTTAGCTTAGCCGCGGATACCCATCTGTCTTATTTGTTACCGACAGATGATTTAGTCTCCTCTTGTGGTTTCTGAGGTGACAGCCTATGGTGCTTCTGTATATCTGCGTGGCATGGACAAAGAAAGCAATACTCGTGTCACTCTACTTAGCGCAAAATAAAAACCGTCAGCATACCGAGACTCGAACTTTGCGGCGCAGTATTATTATCACGTCTGACAAACAAGGTCGCAAATTCAATCAATTTGCAATTCGATCAGTGTTTTCTTTGGTCCGATTTAACCATAGTATTAGCTTGGATCAAAACCAGTCCAAATCTATTGAAAACGTTTACAGGGAATCGAGTCTCCGAAATTCAGACTTTGACACAAAACTTTCATTGGAGATATGTTTCTACCAAGGATAATCCTGCAGACATAGTCTCCATTGTTCCCATCCGAAATTTTACGTTCCACGCATTGGTGGGAAGATTCACATTGGCTATCTTGCGATCAATCAAAATGGCCAAGTGAACAACAGCTCTGGATAGGTGATTAACCAGAGTTGAAATCTCAAACACATTTAGCTATCGAGCCTGAAAGTATTTTAGATTTTCCTTTCGAAAGATTTTCTAGCTTCAATAAAATGCGCAATGTTATTACGTATATATTACGCTCTAAGGAGAATTGTTTCAAAACAAAAAACAATAGACTTAAAGGTAGTCTCACATCCCAGGAACTAGGTCTCGCTACCAAAACGTTAATTGAAATATGCCAACATCAATGTTTCTGTAGCGATATGCAAGAATTACAGAAAGAAAACAAAATGAAATCATATAATAAGCTTTCAGGTCATACCCCATATTTGGACAACGACGGTATTCTACGTGTAGGAGGGAGACTCAAATAGTCCAGCTATGATTTCGATAAGAAATATCCTATATTGTTGCTCGCCAAACATCAGTATACCAATTTATTATTTATTAGGGAACATTATCGGTTATTA